TCTTCTTGTTCTTCTTCTTGTTCTTCTTCTTGTTCTTCTTCTTGTTCTTCTTCTTGTTCTTCTTCTTGTTCTTCTTCTTGTTCTTCTTCTTGTTCTTCTTCTTGTTCTTCTTCTTGTTCTTCTTCTTCTTCGTCGTAGAAGACTTCAAATACATGTTCTTCTTCGCCTTCGGCGCCTCGCTCCGATGGGGGTACACTAAGCGCACCACGAATGCATTGTCGACAAGTAGGACAGTAATGGGCCTTTTGCATACCGCTATTCACCCAGTATTGTAAGCAGTCTCGGCCGAAAACGTGACTGCAGTTTGTCTCTAGAAGCTTGATAGCTACATGCTGATCATCGTCGTAGTCCTCCTGGCAGATAGGGCATTCCGAGTCGTGAAGTGCTTCGGAGGCGGATAACACTATGTATCGTTCAATCGTAGCCGGAGGAGGCGCGTTCATCTCAGTGCATATCGATACTAGCTGTGTCCTGGCATCAACTATGTGTTCGAACATCCACAGCTCGCAACTATGTGAGCCATCGTGGAACGGCTGGGATGTATGATCGTCGTTCTGCTGGTGGGACATCCGGATAAAGCTGATAGGTTCTGTGCGAGTTATGAATAGTTGTCTGAAGGTTGTTGTTGAGGTGTGTTGGTATGGAGAAGAGGTACTGCAGTGCTTGGTACAACTCTTATAATACTTCACCGCGAATTAAGCTCCCACAGGCTCGAGTTCGACAACACTGTCCAGAAATCAAACCCATTGTGAGCCTACCGACTCAGGAGTGAAAGCCTATTGGGCTTCTCTTCTCTCGTCCAGCTGGTGTTGACAATGTTGAGACGGCAGGAGGGACGAGACGTGGGCATCTATTAACGAAAGCGGTCATGAACGAGGAAAGAAACGGCTCTCTCCATTGCATGACTCACAAAAGTTCTTGTTGCATTGCATCGAAAGTTCTTGAGAGCTGGCACTCAACAACAATGAGCGGATCATGGCGAGCTGATGGTTAGTGGCTCGATAGAGTCGCGTAGCTTCGCAATGATTTCGTTGTCGCGAGTAAAAGCATCTGCCACGTCGAAAAAGCGGAGCGATAGATTCTTGCGGTTGATGGCGACCTGATCAGGAATTTCCTTGCACGGCGGATATGTTATGGCAGTGTAGATGGCGCTCGCGACTGACCTCGGGACACCTGCTAGCTTTTCAAGCTATCACAGAACTGGGTTAGCGCAGTCGCTTCAAGTGCATCCTTGCAGACAAAATGTCGATCACGTTCAACTTTTGGCATCTGTCGAGGTGCGTAGCAGCGAAACACATCGACATTGAAGCCGCAATTGGGATTTATCACGACTCCAACTTAGACATCCTCGCTCATTCGGTCCCGAAGATGGCCGACTCGGCAGACAACTCAAACGCTGCATCTAGCATACAGGCAGAGTCGTCCACCTCATCGTCACAAACACCCAACGCACAGCCAGAGTCTGCGTCCTCATCATCATCCGCACCGCCTCAGGCGTGCGCGCAATGCGGGAAGTCTCCGGAAACACTCAAGCAGTGCATCAAGTGCCACAGTGTAACGTACTGCAACAAAGACTGCCAGAAGGCGCACTACAAGGCGCACAAGAAAGCATGTCCTATGCTTGCGCAGGAGTACGTGAAACTGCATGAGCCGAAGATGGCATCAAGATCCAGCGCAAATGCGCCAGGAGCAAGGGACAAGGGATTGCAGAAGTGGCAGGTATGTTGTCTCATGTCTCACTCCGATGTTAAGTTGGTGCTAATGTCGATAGTTTGATACTTGAGTGTACGTAAAGGCGATGGTGGCGCGGCGGTTGGCCGAGGAGTGTCTCGATGGAATAAAGCTAGACGAGCGTGGAGCTAAGGTGAAGGTACTTGGAAATAAGCCAAAGCAACAGGACCCCAGAGCTCAAGGTGGGCTACCGTAGTCCGCAGGCACAAAAGCTTGGTGTGGCGTTTACGTTCCTGCGGCTGGTTCTTGGTCGCGGACAATGAGCAAGGCGTATCATCGGACGGACCTTGTGAGCAGAGTCTGACATCTGACAGCCAATGCACGGGTGGATCGGTCGCAGAATTGATAGCGAAGTTTTACGTTTGTAAACTATGGAATAAACCCTGAGCTCGGTAGTGGCGAGATGAAAATGCGCGCAACGGCAAGTCCCGTGACAAGCAGCATGGCGCTGATCATTAACCTAGGCTGCATCCATCTAAAAAGAAGTTTTCACGGTTTTCGATTGCTGACAATCAAGAATCCGCTGGCCAAAAGAGACATCTCGATGGAAAGCCTAGACTCGCATGGCCCTTCGCCTTGTAGGGCAAAGCGTGTCGCGGCAGCTGAGTGTGGCTGCACTGTGACTGCGGGTAGATAGCTTGGAGGCTTGTCAGACCCATGCCAAAGACGCGCTGTAAGCTCGCACCAAAACGTTGGTGAGGGTTGGTGACTGTGGAGCGAATTGAAAACTTGTGCGTTTTGGCCATGAGCTGTGCAGAGACTGGCTGCGTTCTAGGAGGCGATTGGCAGGGTGCGGCGCCGTACTCGTGTACGCTGGCTCCCCACGGGAGCCCTATGGGTGTGCGTTCAATTCGTATCAAACAGCTTCAGGACTAGCCCGGCTTGTCGTGCAGCAGGGAATCGACCCACCGAACAGTCGGCGCTGCAAACAACCAAACAACGGCAGCGTGAGGAGCGATGGATGGGCATGCTGGTGATGGAGCTAGGCTGCCATGTGTGCAGGGAGCAGCGGGTGCGGTCAGGCCATTTCGCTGGTGTGAATTGCTGTGGCCGCGAGGTCTAGATTTCAGCTGCTGAGACCCTGGGCCTCCAAAACACGCTAGCATCAACCGCAGCGAACATCGGGTATTCACTCCGCAAACCCAACCTAGCCCACCTGGCCCTCGCACCGCGTTGGCCTGGTCGCTCTGCTGTTACATTCATGTCTTGGACGCAGCGACTGTCTTCCCCAGGCGACCGTCCACTCGTTTACCGCCAGCCCCTTCCACCTGTCAATACTCCCCACGCGGCCGTTACTGCCGCCGCGGCGCTACCGCGTTTGTACCTGGACGCCAGATCTTTCAGCCACGTCTCCGTGCGTCTGTTCATCCCACTTACCCAGCATAGCGTGATTGTGCGCGTTACCGGCAAACATCTCAGACCCCGTTGGTCATGATGACGGGCTTTCAGTCCTCCTCACATCTTCTACAGCGAGCTGACGCTGATAATGCCCCTCCTCGCTTTCACCAAGACTCCCACCAAGCGCTCCAGCCCAACTCCATCCCACCCACTCCGGATGAGGGCATAGATGCGGGTCCCTGCCCCGAAATAGCGGTTCCCAACGATATCTCTTCGTTTCTCGACGCTTCCCTGCCGCAGCCTTTCCCGCTGGCTTCCGCCTTACCCCAGCCTCTTAGGACTCCCACCATCGAGGACCGGCCGCAGCTTGATCTGACCCTCAACCTTCCTCAAAGCAACTTCTCGCTTCCCACGTCCACGGTTCTTAGGAGTACGCACAATCTGCGTCTACCCTCGTTTGATGTACTCGGCATTGCTGCGCCCCACCCTGATCGTATCCCACAGCAAACACACCACTCCTTCTCTCCACTAGGCGCTGGACCTCTGTCGAAGCCAGAAGACCCTCTCCATGCGCTCAGCCCACCACTCGACTTCTTCAGCCACGCCAACGGGGCCAGTCATACCCCCGTTACCAGTCCCAAGGAAGCTAGAGCCCGCGTCGGACATCTTGTGTCCACTCACACGCCTCCCTCGGATACGGAGCCGGGGACGATCAGTTGGGGATCCTTTGTGAACCCACGCACGGTTGGGCTGGGTTCGCCTCCAAATTCTGAGCCAGGGGTCTCACCAAATCTGAACATCACTGCCAGCGCTACAGCTCCCAGTCAAGCGCCCATAATCGTACCGACCCACGAAGAGTTCAACGACGAGTTCAGCGACGCGCTGAGGATGGCAGCGTGGATAGAAGAGGCAAAAAGCACCATCAGTGAGTACTTCCTGCACCTGGACGACGCATAGTTCCGTTCGCTAATTAGCTTAGTAAACGAATCTGGATGTCTGGAGTTGGACTCAGTCAAGATTCTGTCCCACGCCCTGCCTTGTCCGTCAACATCAGGCCACATCTTCGGCCAAGTCATCGCTTCTATCCATGACAGATCGTCAACCCAAACCTCGTGGATCAATGTATTCCACGCGCTTCCCGGTCGCTACACGCTCATGGATCTGCCAAAGTCTCCTCCATCGACGCCTGGTCCTGCTGTCGGAGGGGATTCTTACTTTACCAGCAAAGTCTTTGACAGCGCGGTCGCTATTCCAGACTATCAACTCGATTCGAAACTCCTGCCCCCATCGCCTCGACCCGTCGTGCCACCGGGGAGCATCAATGTTTCGATTGTAGAGCGATACATTCCGCCTACTAACACTAATGAGTTCGCTGAGATGTTCACGTTTCGGGGTAGATCTTTGCTGTACGATCGCCTAATCGAGCTTTCTAGCGATGACGGCGTCCTTCTATTCATTTATCCGACCAGGACAGGTGCGAGGACCTTTACGCAGCAGTACCTCGGACCAATTCTCGACCCACTCTTACGCACCGTAACGGTAGTCCACGATCTCCACTCAGAGCTAGGAAGGAACCTGGGTCAAATGAGTTCAGTCAATTACCTGGACGAGTATAACCACTTGGAGGCGCAAGTCCGGAAGTTCTGCGGGGCAATGGGTGAACGACACAACAATGAGAGAAGAGCACATTATGAAGTCATCCACGCCGCAAAAGAGGAGATTCTGATGCAACGGTCAGCTTGGGCGGACGATTGGTGGATCAAGCAAGAGAAACCCCGCATACGGGAGATAATCACCAAGTACTTCAGCAAGTCGAAAAAGCTCCCAAGCTCCGAGATGAGCGCCGCAACTCTGATCCAGGCTGTCCTCGAGGGCGTATCGGAACGGGACTACCATAACGGTGAGCCCACGAAGGGTGTGGAAGTTGGCGTCTTCATCGTGAAGAAGACGAAGGCGATGGCGAAAGCCCAGAGGGAACCATGATGAAAGATTACGCTTTAAATGACGGGACTGAGTATTGAGCGCGAGGCAACGAAGTTACGGGTGAACGACGATCATGATCTCCAGTTGCGATGATCTTAGATTTTCGCATAGCATTGCGCGGCGTTAGCGGCATGAAACGAGCGAGAGCCCTGTCTGGAACAGTACAAAAGATAGCGAGTGATTATAGTAATAATACCCAGTAATGATCTTCAACGTGCAACGTTGCTTCAAGTTCCATATTATGTGACCAAATACCTCGGCTTCCGTTCTGGCAAGTTTACCCTCGCCCTGCCAAGCCGCTAGCGCGAAAAACTGCCCTTTGCTCACCTTTCGAGTCGCACTCTGGCTCACGCATCATGTAGACGGAACTTCAAGCACCTGAGTTGTGCACACCGCTTCGAACACTAGACACGTCTTTCCATTCAAAGAAGCTTGCTCGCAGATTACGGTCGCTCATCACAGGTACGCGCTCCCGAGGTCCCTTCACGTGTTGCGATGGCGCTAGCCACTTTCGTCAGTCACAATCAAGATGAGGGTATAAGAAGAGCAGGAGTGACTTTACATTGGTCTTTTTGCACAATCTGCTTGGATTTACTTCCACCTTCATATGATCTTGCGATGACGACGCGTTTACATGTCTTTACAAGACTAATTTGAGTTCAGTATACTGGGAGAGCACATCGCTTCGAGTCTTGGATCTGCTACACAGCGCAGGCTCGTGGCTATCGGACGACTTCAGTTCCAACATCTAACAAGGAAGTTTGTGGGAGAGCCACGAGATCATCAAGATGCATGTAAGTAACACCATGCAAGACTCAAGTCCCATCTCCTTCGTTCATCCTTCCAATCACATGACATACACTCCACATACTTATCTCATTCTTTCCCTTCCACACAATACCTCCAAAACAATCAAGAACCCTTTGTAGCGCCATCCTGGGTCCATTTGCTGACAAGTATACTCAGATCAAAACCCCCCAATCCGCGCTCCTCTCCAACCACGAAGTCCTCCTGCACCTCCGCCAAGAAGACGCAGAGTACACCGGCGCTGATGAGACGGGGAGGAAACGGAAGAAGCCATCTGGTTTGACGCATATATTGCGAGATGTATGTTTTCTCTTCATCCATCCATCCATCCATCCACCCATCCATCCACCACCCCTTCCACCCACCCAATCCACCACACTAACCCACCACCCCCCAGGGCCTCGCCTACCTCCAAACCGCCGAATACACAACCTCCTCCCTAGCCGACGCGCACCCCTCACGTCCTAGAACGCTCTACCGCGGGCCCCATAGTTTATTCCGTGCGTTGGCGCCCAAGTACCGGTTGAACAAGGCGGAGTATCTGCAGTTGTATGATCTGAGGCCGACGACGCAGGTTACGTTGGAACTGATTGTTGAGGAGGTATGTTGATTTCTATCCTGCTGTTTTGACTGCTGTTCTGGCTGCCCGAGCCTTCTGTGCTTGGCTGTGGTATGGATGGGTGCTAATGTTGATGTTGATGTAGGCGGGAACACGGTTCACGGAGGACGAATTACATGATATTCTGGCTATTATTCAGCAGGTGTTTGATGAGGAGGAGGGGGTCATTCCGGAGGGCGTGGAGGATATGGAGATGCCGAAGATTGCGAATAAGCTGTTGGGTGCTAATAAGAAGAGGAGGAAGGTTAAGCGGAAGGTTTGAGTCTGAGGGACGATGAGCAGATGTAGCGAGAAGTGGGAACGGAGGAGGGTTTCGTTGCACCGACTGCGGTAGGCATGTCAACAGCATGGAGGTCATTCAACGAATACCAGTCAAGACATCAGCAACCAAGCATGGGACAACACAATGAAGTTTATGAACATGTGATTGTATGCTACCAACTGGCGGGTATCCATCCACCGCATCCCCATCATGCAACGTAAAAGGAGGACTTTGAAACATAGAACTACAAGATGCCGAACCCTCGTACGCCACTCGCCCGAACAAAGCAAGCTCAAACCCATAACAACGCCGTACCCTCTTTTGTGAAAGAACATGGCTACAGATACAGAAGTGTCTCCGTGTGGGGGGTCGCGACAGCATCTAGTCCTTGCTCTTCTTCTTTTTCTTCTTCTCGACCTTCTCGTCGGCATCGTCGGCTTTCCGCTTCTTGCTGTCCTTGCTGGACTTCTTTGCCTCCTTGGCGGCCTTCTTTGCTTCCTTGGCCTCGCGCTTTGCGGCACGCTCTGCCTTTCGTGCCTTTTTGGCTTCCTTCTCTGCCTTTTTTGCGGCCTTGTCGCCCTTGGCGGCGGGCTTGTCTTCCGACTCGGAGTCTGATGAGTCCTTGGCGTCGGCCATCTCCTCGTCGCTGTCGACCTCCTGTACGAGCTTCTTGGGTGTGCCATTGGTCTTGTCCGACTTCGACTTCTTGGGGGCAGGCGCATCGGCGGCTGGCTCGTCACCAGTAAGACCATCAGCGTCTGGGTTGTACTTCCGCGCCTCCTTGACTTCCCACTTCTTCTGTCCGAGTGTTGTCGCGTTGGCGTTGCCTGAAGGAATGCTCTTGAGGGGCTTGCCCTCGAGGGCGCGTAGTCTCCTCTCGATGGTGAGGCGTGCGTCGCGACCGAGCTGCGACTTCTCCTCTTCGGTGGGCTCCTTGGAGGTGTCCTCGGACGATACACCCCAGGTGCTCAGGGCGTCGACACGGAGACCCAAGGCGGACTTGGCGGCGAGCATACGGGCGATCTTGCCCTTGTTCTTTCCGGTGGCCTGACCGATAAGGGATGCGTGGTAGATAAGCTGAGAGAGTTAGTTTGACGTTCTACATTGAGGAGTGAGAATACATACACCGTACTTGGGTGTGTCGTGCTTGGTCTTGAGAGCGCGGAAAAGAGCCTTCTCGGCACCGAGAATCTGGATGGTGGAACCAGGCGACTTGGCGAGGTTCATGAGGGATCCAGCGTGGGCGATGAGGCGCGCTCCAACAAGCTCTCCAACGAGAGCAGTAAGGTTAGGAGCGAGAGCTTGCATACGGTTGGAGAGGTAGGCGCCGAGGCTTTGACGGTGCTCGGTGAGGTCAACGACCTGCTCGGCAAGAGCTGAGGTCGCCTCCAGATCCTCCTCTGTGATCTCGGTACCCATGGAGATTTCTGCAGCCGCCTTGACAGCCGCCTCGATCTCCTCGGGAAGAATCTCGGAGAGGTCGCTCTCACGCGCCTTGGTTCGGAAGCCCATCTTAAGGACCACACGAGAGTAGGCGAGGTTATCGTTGAGAACTGTCGCTAACGTCAATAACTTGTTCAAAGCAGGCGTCTAGAAAGCTGGTACTTACTCTTGGCGAGCTCGGGGAAGTGCCAGCCGTACCATTCCTTGACACGCATGGCATAGGTGTTGAGCTGCTTGTCGAGCACATCGAGCGATGCGATAGACTGGATAATCATGGTATCGACCTTGTCGGGCGAGAAGCGCAACTTGTGTCGCGACAGGGAGTGGGCAAGACCGAGTCTGGTCGCGGCTTCCTCAGAGGGAAGAAGATCGGGAAGGAGCGAGGTCAGGTTTTCGCGGATGGCACGGAATACATCTTGGGTAGAAGAGTCTGATACGGTCTTGAGGGAGAGACCGGGGAGTTGCGCAATCGAGTTGGAGAGCTTGGGGTCGGCGACGGCCACTTGAAGGTGTTAGCTGCCATGTTCACTGCGCAATCTCAGGAAGTTCGTACAGGTAGCCTTGGTCTCATCCTTCAGGTCCTCCAAAAGCGACGACAGCATAGGCGTGACTTTTCCATCGTGGAGCGCGGCGGCCTGCTCGAGAGCGTCTACTGCGCTGCCGAACTTGGCGAACTTCTTGAGCTTGAGCTCCTCGACAATGCTAGAGGAGTTCTTGTTCTCTCCGCTGAGAAGCTTCTTGTCCTTGGACTTCAACAGGACGTAACCCGCCGAAGTCTCCGAGAGGATAAAAAGACCCATTTTGCTGATTTCGGTCGTGGGGTAGGTCCAATGGCGATCGCGAAACGCAGCTACCCTCCGTGGTGAATTTGGACGTGGTGTGGGAAGTCGCGATGGGAGTTGTCGCAAGCTCGAGCAGTGCGCTTTCCAGCTAGAACTTTTTCCTGCGCTCGGGCCAGCCAGCCAGCGCTAACCCTGGAACACACAAGCTCGGTTTCTGGCAGCTAGTGACGAACGCCAGGCACATGCAAGCGAAGCAACTCGCGGCCATTGAGCTTACATTATAATGATTTATTAATCCATCCAAGACCATCCCCGCCATGTCATCCGGCGGCGAGCGAAAGGTCTCGGGCTCCCTCAACCGCAGCACCCGGGGCGCGACTCCACGCCTCGCTGATCTGGGAGAGTCACCGCGGACACCGCTCCTGCGATCCATCTCGTCCACCTTCGGCTCACCCGGTGGCTCCTTCCGCACCGAAGACGAGTACGTCGTGATAGAAGTCGGCTCGCGATTTGTACGCGGCGGCTTTCCCGGCGAAAGTGCCCCGCGATGCACCCTCCCGTTCGGGCCTGACGACCAGCGGAGGCTGGGCGACTACCGGCAATGGGATCCCGAATATGCACAGAAGAGAAGAAAGCGGAAGCGGGACCAGGACTGGGGTCAGGAACACGAGCTCTACCGTATGGATCTGAGCAAGGTCGACATGGGGCTGGTGGAAGACAAGTTTGAGAGAGCGATGAGAGAGGCATATGGCAAATACTTTTTGCTGGACACGAAGCCACGGCGGGTACTGCTTGCGATGCCGCCGCGCATGCCGCATGCACTCATGTCCACTATTCTCGACGTGCTGTTCACGAGCTTCCAGGCCCCAAGCATCACCCTCATGTCAACCCCGGTGCTGTCGACAGTGGCCGCAGGACTACGCTCAGCACTGGTTGTGGATATAGGCTGGGCGGAAACACTTGTGACTGCGGTATGCGAATACCGCGAGGTCTCTGAAAGACGCAGTGTTCGGGCAGGCAAGCTGCTGAGCGAAGAGATGGCCAAGCTGCTGAACGCCGAACTCGACGACGCTGAGCCGAGCGCTACCAAGGCAGACGTGTCTTTCGAAGAAGCAGAGGAAGTCCTCACACGTGTCGGATGGTGCAAGCCCGTCCCCCGATCGAACCGACGAACCGTATACTTTCCCGCGCGAGAAGCTCCTGTACTCGAGGAGTTCGAAGATGCTATCGAATCACCGCCGCCTGCCGTCACCATACCCTTCCCGAAGCACACACCACCTACCGAACTCACGATATCATTCGCGTCGCTAGCCAAGCCCACCGAAAACGCTCTCTTTGCGCCCGAGTTGGCCATGCACGAGTTCGACGACGAAGACCTCCCACTACATCACCTCATATACCGCGCTCTCGTACAACTCCCCATAGACGTCCGACGACTATGCATGTCGCGCATCGTAATAACAGGCGGCGTATCAAACCTGCCTGGCCTCAAGACGCGCATACAGAAAGAGCTGGACGCTCTGGTACAACTCAAGGGATGGGATCCAGTGAAGAGCTACGGCAGAGCAAGCGCACGTCGCGAAGAGAAGATGCGCAACCAAAAGGAAGATGTGGAGACGCGCCGACAGGAAGGCGAAGATACGTTCCCCTCCTCACTCGATGCAGATGCGGAGCCTGCGCCGATCCCCGCAGCGCTACAATCGCCCACAGAAGACCCTATAGATACCAAGTTCGCCCAGATGGCAATACGTCACGGCCCACCGCCTGCGAGCTTGATTGGCGGCACCATCAGAGTCATGAATACATTGGGCCCGTGGGCAGGTGCGAGTCTGATAGCACAGCAGCGCATCAAGGGTATTGTTGAAGTTGAGCGCGAGAAGTATCTCAAAGATGGTCTGCAGGGTGCTACAAGAGAAAAAGAGGTCTCTGTCATTGCGCAGAGGCAGAGCATGGGTCCTGGTCTGTCTAACAAAGGTGGTGAGAGAGCCAGTTGGACTTTGGGTGTGTGGGCTTGAAGCGCGTGCGTATTCTCAGAGCATGTTATTCCCTTTTGATACCCCTTCAGTCATCTCACTTCTTGCGACATTGAACCGTCGTCTTGCTCACGCAGTCTTCTTAAAGTAGTTCACAAGCAGCTCCCCGGTTCTTCAGTCCACGACTTCTCACATACCCGCCTGATATATCGCAATTATGAAGGCACCTTCGCATCCCTGGCATGATATGTGATTCTTTATATCTCAAAATTCATACTGAGAGACATCGTTCCGCAGGAGAGGGTTTTTACCGCTTCTTTACCGCCTCTCAAATGCTGTCGAATAGGGCGATGCTAGAAAGCTTTGGCACACGCACACGCACACGCATATGACTTTGGTTCCGCCACCACTGCCGCACAGTAGTTCATCAGATCCAGCTTGTAAATCAGGATGTCCGCAAGCCCGCAAGTCCGCAGCTCAGTAGCGTTCAAATGGAACCCGGGCTCCCATTGGCCGCTTTCTGATGTGGCTTTCAGCCTTCCCTACGTGGACGAACGGGCATGACGGTAGCTGTATTGACATACCCCAATCATCTTCCGGGTCCGACCTCCTCTACGCATTCGAATTCTCCCATAGGACCGTGAGTGTGACCCGTAAGGCAGTCAGGCATCTCTGCAAATCCGCAGGTCTTCAAAAGCGCGAATCAGTAAGACCGCATCCGTACAAGCCATGGCACTTACCAGCGCATCACGCACCTTGATTGGCTGGTAAAGATCGTTATATCGGCCTGATGCCCGCATCC